AGTGCGGACACTAGTGTATAGACACTAAGTGAACACTGGGACAGTGAGTCAGTATAAGCAGCAACAATCACCAAGATAGACCGATCGTGTTAATTACCCCGGAAGGGACTGTATACCCGATTTTGAATGTGATAGTGAATTTTCAAGTAAGAAGAAAATTCTATCCGGAAACCAAGGACATATCGAATTTCTGACTTCGCCGACGTATTCAATACATCAATCGTCATTCAGAAAAAGAATTTCAACGAATTTAGGAAAAATTCTAGAACATTCTATTTGGAAACCAAGGGAGATATTGAATTTGTGACTTCACCGACGTGTTTGCTATATCAATCGACATTCAGAAAAAAACATTTCGCCGATGTTCAGCAAATAAGACAAGAAGTTGAGGACCAAGTTCAGGCACTTGAAGATAAAGTGGATAAATTAGAAATACAGTCCATCAATCCAGTTAGTGTTGGGGAATTCTCTAGTATGAAAATAAAACCACCAACTTTTGACGGTTCTATGTCCTGGACTATGCATAACTGACAATTTGAAGTTGCTGCAAATACCAAGGGATGCAACGATCAAGAAAAAGCAACAGCACTGATAGTGGCGCTACGAGGACCTGCCTCAGATCTTCTTCAATCTACCAACAGAATTACCAGCATTTAAGTCAGACATTAGAATTACGCTTCGGAGACCATTACAGACAAGAAGTATTTAGAACTCAAGTCAAATTAAGAATTCAACAATCCGGCGAGAGTTTACAAGAATTCGAATCGGAAATTAAAAGGCTAGAGAGTTTGGCGTTTCCTGCAGCTAGGAAAGACATGCAGGAATGGATGGCAGTATCTGCGTTTATTGATGGTCTCAGAGATTCGAAGATGCAGGAAAACCTGAGAATTTCCAAGTTCAGAAAAAGTACCGAAGCCCTTGTCCGAATTGGAACTGGAAGCAATCTTTGGTGCCTCACGACCAGAACACGGGCAGTATCCATTGAAGACCCAAAGGATAAACAATCGTCAAAAGAAGATGGTAGCTTCAAGAATGTTAGGTGAGAAACCATTACAAGAAAGTAGACAAACGGAAAACGACTCCAGACCAACACCAACGCCGAGTAACCGAGTAGAATGTAACCGGTGTCATAAGCTTGGACATATGCAATGGGATTGTAGAGTGAGGATTTCCTCTCCATCTAGGGATCGTTCCCAACGCTTTTCAAGATCTAGAGACGCCAGCCCTGATAACAGACAGGAACCAACCAGTACGGAGAGGCGGATGCTGGCTAATAATGACCAAGCCCCTAGGGTTCTTTACATAAAATCATTGGGCAGTCATTATAGAGGATTAAAATTCGAAGGACAAATTAATGGAGAATTTAAAACCATCACTTTTGATATGGATGCTGAAGTGTCTATAATTGGAACAACAGGTAAAGTCTCGGGCAATCCAATCGCTCATTAGAAACCTGTCACTACGAACAGTCACGGGCGAATGAGCACTAGTTCAAGGAGAAGCTATGGTTGAGCTTACTTTTTGATCTACCACCTTTAGGCATAGAACATTAGTCGCCGATATAGAAGATGATTTTATTTCAGGAATGGATTTGATTCGCCAACATGGTTTCTCTTTCGATTCTTCTATGAACATCCTTAAATTTGGTAATAAAGAATCTGTCCTAACTACACAAGAAGAATCACAAGCCGTTAAGATCCTGGCCACAACCCCAGTGAGGATTCCTGGAAGTACTGAGAAGATCATTTGCGGAAAATTGGAAACAAACCCTGGGTGCTGCGTTGGACTAACAAATAATTTTATTGAAGATAAACCAAAAAAATTTCTCGTTGGAAAGACTCTAGTAAGAACAAATGGAGACATTATGATAAGAATTGCTAATGTTTCTTCTGAAACAGTAAAAATAAAGGAAGGAGGTATTATTGGAACTCTGGAACCAGTTAAGCAAATATCGAACTGTGACCTACCAGAAAAGCGACATTTTGTAAAACCGAAATTGGATACAGACACCTTGATGCAGACTTTGGAGAAATCATGGAAACACCTCGATCCAGATAGAAGGTACAGATTTCATCTTGAAAGATGCAGACGTATTTGTGATCGATAATCAAACCTGACGGACCAGCTTAATTCAACATAAAATTGATACTGGATTAGCACACCCAATTAGACAGCCACCACGACGTATGCCAGTAACTAAACAACAGGAAGTGGAGAACCAAATTGATAAAATCCTTCAAGAAGGAATTATTGAAAAGTCAAATAGTCTATGGTCTGCGCCAGTAGTATTGGTTACGGAGAAAGATGGAAGTCTTAGATTTTGGGTGGACTACCGTAAGCTCAATGACGTCACCGAGGACAGCTTCCCTCTCCCGAGAATTGATGATACATTTACAACTCTATCGGGCTCCAAATGGTTTTCCACCTTGGATCTTAAGAGTGGATACTGGCAAGTGGCAATACACAAAGATAAAACTGTCATCAGTACCGGAAGCGGGTTATACCAGTTTAACGTAATGCCTTTCGTATTGTGTAATGTTCCAGCTACGTTTGAGCGACTGATGCATCTTGTTTTGTGAGGCCTTACATGCAGAACTTGCCTGGTATATTTAGATGATGTCATGATAAAAGTTGTACATTTGGACAGATTGACGAAATATCATGGGCGCGAAGTTGATCGGGACGATCAACCTTATAAGAGTTAATTAGTGAAGTAATTAGTGTCAGAGTGTCTATTAACGTGGAATAAAAATCATTTGTGTGAATAATAATATGTTGTATTAATTGGACTTTGATTTTGGAATAAACGAACCCAAAATTTCCGTCACGCAATCAGAGCCTTGACAATATGTATTCATAGGCATTTATATGTATTCTTGTATTCTTATGTATTTCTTTGCACTCAATGTATTCAGTGTACAAGTTTGGTTGGTTGACGATTTACCCATCGATAACTCCGAATAAAACAAATCTGATTTCGTGAATTGACTGTTGGGGATATGTAGCCAAGACGTATTGAAAAAGCATTAAAGGAAGAATTCAATCGAAGAAAAACGGAATTTTGATCTGATAATCACGAAAAGGTTCTCCTCTACGGAGTATATCACATGTTGCCAAATACCAAATGAACTACTATTTCACATCTTGGGAACCGAGACCGGAAATTCTGACCAAAAAAAATGATGGGATATTCTTGAGAGACAAATCCCATATAGAAAGCTTAGAAGACAATCTCGAGTGACCGATAGTGATGGAATAAATTGGCGCAGAGAAGACGATCTTTATCAAGGTGGCGAGTAAACATAAAGCTTTACAAAAAAGGCTGAATACAGAAGGCACAAATAAGGAAAACTGGATAAAGGGACGGCATAGCTATTTGATGATTGAAAATAGTAGGTAAGTATGATGATGTAGATGAGATTCTACACTTTATCGAATATTTTTACGACTGTATTATTTTGAAATTATGCGTTTTTGCATCATTATGCACATTTTGTTGAGAAAAATATGCACATAAAACTAGTGGAATAGGTAGGTACTCTGAATCGATTTGAAATAAAACTCACAAAAAGCCAAATTACAAACAAACGAAAATTGAATTGATTTATTGAAGTCGGCAATTAGAAAAAGTGAACTTGTGCATCTGTAATAAAAGATTATTATTCAGCAACTTGACAGTTCTATGAATAGAAAGCATGTTATGATTCCAATAACAATTTAAACCTGATTTTGAATTAAATTCCCACTTGTATAACTAAAAGCAAAATTTTCAAAAAAATAGGTATGATATATCTAATATTATCTAATTGCATTTTTAGATTAAATCCGTTGAAGTAACACTTATTATAGATAAAAGTAACTACTTGATCTTTTATTTAAAAATAATTTTTTGCAATTATTAAATAATAACACTTGAAAAAAAAAGGCTTACTAGAACGTTGATCACAGTTATCAGACGGAATCATGTTGGTGGAAAATCCCTTGTTATTAGATAAGTAGCACTTCACCGATTTTGCAACAGTAAAGCACTCGAAAGCCTGATTATTTTCATAGTCCGTTTTTTCAAAAAACCACCAAATAGGATAAGAGTATTCATTTTTTTTTGTGTGTGCGAAATATTATGTGAGGTTATCTGCGAGAGGTAAAGGCTTTGGCTAAACGTATCCCACGGCATGCGGCATCGTACTGGCGCCTTTTGGCCTCCTAAATATTGATTTTCCACTGTCGGAAAAGCCACCAGCAGTATGACTTTTCCTATCATTTTTATAAAAATAGGTGACGAGTGGAAAGTTAACGCACCATTTATTATCTTGATAGTGCTAAAATGTAGTCAAAGATTGATTTGAATATCATCAAAAAATATATAACATATTGACATTGATAAGATATAAGTAAATGATTTTTGAAGTCATTTGAACTTAGACTGTGTGTCATACATTTTTATATTTACATGGTGATGTCTTTTCATAAATTATTTTGCACAAACAGAAAATTCATGTGAAACATTTTCAAGATATGATTCTGCTCCCAATGCTATACATAATATTCAAGAAGGAGTATTTTATCCAGATAACTTTCTAGCAATAATTCCCTAATTAATTCAACTTGAGAGCAATATCTTCTTTTCCTCCTGAATTTGTGAAGTTATGATTTCGGCTGAACAAATTCTCATTATATCCGACATCATGACCTGTATGGATTTTCTTCTCTTTAATATGCTAATATATCCGTTAGAACACACATTATCATCAAATAACATGCGTGTTGCATTTTCGTTGGTCAGCTCTCTTGGTAGATGGAAGATAAAGACTTTGAAGGGACAAACTGCATGCATTTATAATAATTGCTACCGATCCACAAAAGGTATTCTCTCCCGTTATCACACGTGAGACTCAGTTAAGCATTATCTATCCACTTCAATTTTACTATTCATAAAAAAGAAATACCTACACCAAATCTATAAGTACAAAGTGAACTACACTCGAGTCTTTCATTTGAAGCAAAAATGATGAGCTATGAAAATGGAATCATTAAAACTAACGATATACCATACAACCAAAATAGTGGAGGAATCGGTTACATGTTTTATACCGCCCTCAAAGAATACGGTGATAGGGTTGCTTTGGTAAGTCATAATTATTTTTATCAAGTTTTTTTTTTTTTTTTCACATACCAATAAAATTGTAGATAAATTCCAAAAATGATGAATTCCGTACCAACAAAGACCTACTAGAAAGATGCACATCTACAGCCGTAGCACTTCAAAAACGGGGTTTTAAACAGCAAGACTTGGTCGCTGTATGTTCGAACAGAGAAAACCTGGACGCCAATGTGCCCTTAATAGCTGGACAATTTTTAGGATGTGTAACGTTCAGCTTAGATCCCAATTTGACTGTTAAAGAACTTTGCGAGCTAGTGAATCAAATACAACCCAAGATTATATTCCTAATTGGTACCTAATAGGTGAGTTAGTTTAAACATTGCTATATAAATAATTGTTTTTTTTAGATGAAGCTAAAAATAAGATGCAAGAGGCTTTAAAAATTTGCGACGTCGAAGTTGAAATGGTTACTTTTGGCAAAGAATTTGAAAGTGAATTTTTGAAATTTGATAAAATTCAAGATTTTGAGCCTGTATTCATTGAAAATTTGAAGGAAACTTGCATGATACACTTTAGCAGTGGTTCGACTAGTTGTCCAAAACCAATATGCTTGAACCATTATTATTTCATGACTTTTGCAGTGTCCCTTCCTAAGTAAATAAGTATTATAGACATTGTTTGAAAATATTCAATACCCAGGTTTTTGTAGCCCCAAAGCTGAACCTTGCCAAGCTAAATTCGAAAACCACGAAGTCGGCAATATAAGTCTGAAGTTTATGAATTGGTACTGGATATCCGCTTCTTTAGAAATGTTCCACTTGATTTGGACTGGGAATTGTAGGTTATTGAAGGACGAGTTCGATGTTGATCAAATTTGGGACATGGTAGCAAAATATAAGGTAATTTTTTCTTTGATTATGCTTTGGCGAGAGCTAGGAAGTTTTATTTGACAGCAAAAAAATGTATTCTATTAGTGTGGAAAATCAGAAATGTTAGTCTATATAGTCAATTGTATACAGCTTAGATACCGAAGAATTCTCTTAGCTGCTTTCTATGCACATGAAGTGGGTTTATCCAAAAATCGGGACAAATATGCAACGCTATATGCTATATTAGGTCTGATAGATAGATACATTAAGCTACGTTCCAATCTTTAATATGGAACATTATCTGCCAGTGTAGCATTTATTTATCCATTTGAAAATTGATTTCCATCGGAGTGGAAAATGACCCAGTCTCGTCCTCCTCTTCAAATCCATTCCAAGAAATATTTTCACTTCATACATTGATTTGACTTTAAATTCCCGAAACAAGTTAATAAACATTTCCTTGACTTAATCTTCTGGTCCAATTATCAGAGCATCATCAATAAATATTAGAGATATGTTGTCATTCACAAATAAACAATAGTCATATTGTGATCTTCGAAAATTTAAATTTGTCATGACTTGATTAAATTTTATGTTCCAACATTTGGGCGCATTTCAAAGTCCATATAAAGCACGTCTCAATTTTAAATATTTTGCATCTGTGTTCAAGCCTTCAGGTGCTTTAATTTACACATCATTTTCTAGGAATTCTTTTGGAAATGCAGTCGGAACATCAATCTGATCCAGTTTCCAACCATTCTGTAAAGACACTGATATATGTAGTCTTATTGTAGCTAACCTATACACTGTGGCATAAATGAATTCATCACTGTGATTATTTGGTATTTGGAAATCTCTTGCAACCAATCTTGCTTTCTTTGTACCATCTTTAAAAATTCACTTCGTGTCTATAGCTGTTTGACATTCAGGAAGTTCTGCTGGCATCCAAGTTTGAGAGATTTCATGAGATTTAATTTCCTTCTCTATGGCTTTCTGCAGTTTTACAAGCTTCTGCATAACTCTTAGGCTCATCTGGAGTCGCTGTGAGCAAACAATAGGCACTGTATATTTCAGCCATCAAAAATTTTGGATTTGTTCACAGTTCTTCCATGTCTTGTTATAGTCCTATTACTCCATGGCATATGTTTTTCGTTCTCATCACTACTTGAATTTCCATTGCATCCTTGCATATTATGGGTCATTTGAACATGTCTCTCTTCTTGTATCTCTTCAATATTTTCTTCTCGTCTCTTTTCTCTTCTTCTTCTTCATCAAGTAAGTAGTTTGTGTGTTTTTCTTTTTCCTTTGGCCCACTTTCTATCTCTATCTTCTCATGGCTTTTCTTGTACTCCATCAAGCTCTCATCAAATTTCACGTCTCTGGATCTCACTATTTTCTGCACAATCTGTAGCCACCACCGCAATATCCCACCATAGCAGCCTGCTTTGTCTTAGCATCTAACCTATTACCTTTGGATAGAATTGTAAACCAGGCTCAACACCCAAGAATCTTGAGCTTACTCAGATCATTTCGACCATGCCAAATTGTCGAGGGTGTTACTCCCCTAGGTAAAGCTCTTGTTGGAATTCTATTTATTTCATACACAGAACATTTTAGAGCCTCATGCCATAGTGTTTTTGGGATTCCTGAATCTCTAATCTTAGTTCTTATTTTATCCAATAGATTTCTATTAATTCTTTCAGCTTTTCCATTCTCTTGGGGGGTATATGGCATGGTATACTCCAAAGTCATACCATTCTTCTTACAAAAATTCCTAAAACTACTCTCACAAATTCCCCTCCATTATCTAGTCTTCAAAATGCTTTGACCTTAACCTGGTGCTGTGTTTCAAGGTTTTTTACATATTGAATAAGATTCATGCTAGCCTCATCTTTGGTTTTTAATATTTTCATCACTAAAAAATGTGAAAAATCATCTAATATAGTTTCGAAGTACTTACTACCATCTATAATGGCTGGATTGATTGGTCCGCAGATATCACTATATTGGCACCAGATGTCTCATAGCAGTCGAGGTCCTCCTATTCTCATCAAATGGACACCTTGTTGCCTTTCCTTCCATACAACTGCTGCAGGTTTTATCAGATTTTGATAATTCTAGGTTCATTGCTTCATATGGCCTCGTGACAGTTTTCCCTTCTCGGCAGAGTAGTGTATTGTTATTTATGCCAGCCATAGTTTACTATTTAGTCCAGAATTAAACAAAGAATGAGCAAAATCGAAAATACACTTACAGTTTGCAGCTATTTTTCACAAAACTTGACTTCTGGGCCCATAACCTCTTAAAGTTAATGGATAAATTAATACACTGGAAGCGATTTTTAGTAGAAGATATTATAATGTGAAATGGGAAATAAAGGGAAAAACTGACTAATAACTACCTATTAATAATTGAGACAAGAGACGGTTTAATCTGACATTACATTAGACAATCTATCAAAAATTAACGTCACTCCAAAAACAGGTAAAGTGCAGCAGGTGAAACAATAATATATGTGGTAAAACTAAGTGAATTTCCATATCCTACACATTATTATATTAATCATGGGAAGCGTCCTCCAAAAGATTCAATGCGACCAGCCAGAAATCGTTTTTTGAAACACTTCTCACTTCTCACCAAAGGAACTGAATTTTTGACCCGACATTTTCTAGCAATTTTATTTCTGCTCTTTCTCCTCTAGCCTCTGTTAATATTTATTTATGGATGATATAGGTCTTTTCCAATTTTCATCAGCAAACTGTTCTTTGAGTCACTTTTCCCCAGTGCAATCGTACGGTTGGTTTCTAGATTTGTTGTATTACTGTCTATTGTATTAGTTCCGAATTTCATCTATGGATTTTTTGTCTTGCAAGATGTCCTACGAAAAACTTACTTTCAGATGATTGACCCGATATTTCATCTTTCAAATCTCTCTTTGGAAAGAGTCCGCAAACACTTGAATCCAACCAAGAACCAGATTGCAGGACGTAGCATTACACCACAAAACGTCAGTTTTACAGTAGACCATTAACAGCCACAAAGACCACATTCGATTAGAACATAATTTTGCCATCTGCCTTTTAGCTTCAGGTCAGTGTGCGAATCCACTAAAAAGAGAATTTCTCAGTCGGTGGAACCCTTTCTCAGTAACGAGAGACCCCTACAACCCATCACCAACCATGGTTAAACTAGCAGAAATAAGAGTGCCTTTTTTCTATTTTTTTTTTTTTTTTTTCATTTTACTTCTCTACATTGTGTTGTATTTTGTTCCCCTTTCTTGTAGATGCTCTCTCTCTCTCTGGTAGGTACTTTTGTTTTATGTGATTTGCCTTGGTCTATTCTCGTTCGTCTGTTTCGCCTTTCGTTTTGTTCGATTTGTCGCTTAGTCTTGTGTCTTTCACTGCCGCCTCTGCCCATTTGTTTGTTCTCAAGAACTGTTCTGTTATTATTTTATTATCGTTTCTCAGGGTTAACCGGAAATCGCCATATTCGGCTATGATTTGCAGATCTCCCCTACATACTGGGCATCCTTCATCATGTTTAGATCGCATGTATGTACATGTTCCCTCCATGTGGCGGAGCTTGAGCCGGTGAACATATTGTTCGAAGTTTCCGTGGTCTGTGAGCAGGTGGATTGCCTTGAAACTGAGATCGATTCTCTCGTAACCCAGGATCTTACAGTGTTTGGAAAGCTCCCTGATGCCCTTGCTCTCATTATGCCATATTCTTTACCACTTCTCCAATGTCCTTCTGTTTCTTTCGGTTTTACATTGGACTCTACTTGCCTGGTTGTATTCCCCCACGTTCTTTGCGATTTGTTCTTTCTCCCTAGCGAAATTTGCTAGTCTGTAGGCATCCCTGTTCCCTGGATTTGTGTGACAGTGACCTTTTTTCCATTGGAATTTTATTCTCGTTCCATTATCCTGTGTCTGTTTTAATATATGTGCGTTGGTCTATCTTTGATGGGTCAAGTTGGTCCAGAGTCTGCTGCCTGTACGTCGTTATTAGGAGGCTTACGCCTGGTATCTGGGTCCCTGCTTGTAGCCCTTTTAATATCGCAATCATATCAGTGTGCTCTCACCTTCTGCTGGATACTCTGGTTTTGTAGTCTTATGTGAATTCCCCGACCGGTTCTGCCCCTCTGATCCCCAGTAGCACGCTCTTCGTTTTTACATTCTTTCTCTCAGGGATGGGTGCGGTTTGTCAATTGTTTTTATTTTAGCAGCCTCTATGTCCCTGTATTTTGTCAGCTAGTCCTGTTCCTCCGCGTCCAACCACAGACCCAAGCAGCTCAGCGGTTGTGTTTTCGCTTTGCATGCAGTGGGTCTCGGGTTCGAATCCCGGCTAGGTGCATGGATGTTTGTTTGTTTGTTTGATTTGGATTGTGTGTGATGTTGGAGGCTTTGTCGACAAACCACAGTGGTGGTTTCTGACAAGAAAGCAGAAAAAACAGTAAAGGAAATCCAGCTAACACTTGCAGTGCACTGTTGGGCGTGGTTGCATAGGCTCTGCAGTTCACCAGCAGCAGTGGTCTGACTGCTGCATCCATATGCCTTCTGCCAAATATCATGTTAGCCCTGCCTGCCCTGATCTCGCTTGCTTATAATATGGCTGGTTTCAGTACTCTGTCATGTCTAATGACCCGCTTGCTGTGGCCCCATTTTCATCTGATTTGTAAGGACATCATTTCCGAGACCTTGCCTGGCGGTTATTATGTGTTCTAAATAGTTTTTTTGAGGGTCGATGGTTATCCCTAGATACTTGACATATTCCTGTAGGATGACGTTCTTCCCGGCTATCTTTGTTCTGGGAACCATCATGTTCTTATCATGATAATCATTTCAGTTTTCCCTGAGACGATTATGTGTTTGTCATCCGCGTAAGCTTGGGTGTCTGCCAGGCTATCCAGATTGGTCCTCGTCTCCATCTTTCGCTCGCATTATCGATGCATCTGAACGAACCCTGCATAACCATAAGCCAGAGTTTCGGTCCGAGAGTCCTAGGCTTGACCCTTGCGGATAGCTCCTTGTCATACTTCGAGTGATTTTGCCTGTCTTTATTGTTCTATCCAACGTGAACCTCTCGGAAATCAGCCTGACATTACCTGGGCCCGTATTTCCGTAACCGGGAACAGCGTTCTCGAGAGAACGATTTGCTCTGTCTAAGTCGCCCATATTGTTATTTCCATAATACTGACAAAGACAGAGCAATTATTCTCTCTTGAGAACGCTATTCCCCGGTTACGAGAATACAGGCCCTGGTGTGCCGCCCACAAAGACCACAGATGGAATTAAGAGCTTGTACAGTGGAGATCACATACAGGGCTGAGATCACGACGAGTAGAATTCTACTTTCATGACGTCACCCGCGACCTATTTATCGCGTACTCAGCAGTTTAAGCAGGTCAACGCGTAAACTAATGTTTACACGAAATGGATATAAAAACCGATGCACCCATGGTATCGGTATCCATTCGGGTTTTTCTCTTCTCAGGGCTTCCTTACCCCAGGAAGTAGTATTAATCCCTTCTGTTTCACATCTCCCTCCTCAAGGTCTCCTTACCCAAGGGAGCAGTAGCTACACGTCTCTTCAGGGTCACCTTACTCCAGAGAGTCTTGGAGCAATCTCTTTTAGGGCATCGCTGCTATATACGTGCGGGAACCAATTGCACCTCCGTATAGTTACATATAGCCCCAAAAGCAAGAGTCATGTGGCATACCTACGTATAGTATCCCTTTGGTAAAGTACCCACTAGGAAGCAATATACGATAGGTGCCTTTTGTAATTGTGTGTTTTCCTGAAGAGCAATCCCCAACCACAGGTCCGTGTGACAATAGCAAACCAAAGAATAATCCGGATATTTGTCTCAGCCATTTTCCGATTGATACATTGACAAATATTCATTGTTAGTTAAAACCAAAGGTTTTTATATTTATTAATAACAATTAATGTATAGATTTCAGATATATACCTCAAACCTGTTGATATCATAGCAATAATTGATTCCAAACCAAATGTGGACATTTCCTCTTTGAAAACAATTTACAGCGGAGGGTCTCCGTTTCACAAGGATTATATTGAAAAATTAAAGGCTAATTTTCCAGGTATGTATCAGCTCGTTTGTGTCCGTGTCATCAGTTTTCGTCAATCAGATTATCAGATAAGGAACCAGCAGGTATTTGAGTTAAGATCGCACTCATCCATTTATACAGCATTATGAGGATTATAATCGCCATCATCTTCAACATTCAATCCTTCTTATTCTGGAAATACGCCTTTCCAATTCCAAAAAAACACATTAGTTAAAGATAGTAACGCTTAATAAATACTAGTCTTAGCTCCCTAAGTTGGATACGTCTCCCAACCTTTTCCGGCATTCACCTAACGATAATAGTTTCCATTCCATACATTAGTTTCCAAATTGAAAGTTCGGCTACGTTTATTATAAGGTTCATTTCACCCAGAAGCCTGGTTCCAAGACAATAAGTATTCCACATGAATCAGATTTGGTTTTTGTTTCCGCTATTTGATTAAGCTGATGTGTTAATTTTTTAGATATAGAAGTATTATTGACAATATACGCCATGACTGAATGCGGTGTGATCACATACCCTTATAAAAAAGAATTTTTAAATTCAAAACCAGTGAGCTGCGGTCTTCCATGGTATGGATTACACTATAAGGTAAATAAATGAATACATATAGTAATGTCGATTTCCTTTTTTATTAAAGCATAATTTTTGAGGTTGTTGATGTGGAAACTGGAAAAATATGCGGATTTAACCAACCGGGCGAATTATATGTAAAAGGCAAACGAATATTTAACGGCATTTACAATCAAGATTCTTCAGAATCCTTTGACGATGAAGGCTATTTTAAGACTGGAGATTTAGTTTATTACGATGAGGATTTTTGTTTTTTTGTTGTTGACCGACTCAAAGCTGTTTTGAAGTAAGTAGTAATACCATCATATTTTATCCAAACCACATTATCAATATTTTAGATGGAATAATATAGTTATTTATCCAAGTCGTATCGAGAAAGTTTTACTCAGCCATCCAGCTGTAAGCGAAGCTATAGTTATAGGAATACCTCACAAAACGGAAATCGAAAGACTATTGGCGGCTGTAATTTTGAAAGACAACGTTAAAGTCATAGAAGACGACTTGGTGAAATTTGTTGCAGAAAGAGTGGAAGATTGTGAGAGGTAATCTAATTATAGAAAAATAGTAGGTTTCTAATTAAACTTCAAATTATTTGTAGACTAAGAGGGGGAGTGGTGTTTGTGAAATATTTTCCGGTAACTATAACTGGCAAAGTAAGTCGGTTAAAAGTAAAAGAAATGATTCTGGATAAACTGAATAAATAAATTTGCCTTAAAACCATTGTCATTACCAGTCTAATAACAAATGTACAAATAAATTATTAATTAAAATATTATCCCGACAATCGATAGTGAACGTTTTTCATTTCTCTAACCCTCTCAAAACTCGTCAGTGCCTTGATGGAAATCTTCTGATTCACGGAAGGGTCACCATTGTATCTTGGCTATTAGTTGAGGGCAGACAGGTAATCAAAGGGTTTACCACTGTGTTAATTTATTCCGACCGTCCACTTTCTGAAGGATTTGCATCTTAAGAATATAATAAAGAATCAAGTTTAGAAAAGTGAGGTTTTACCAAGTCAGTGCAAGAGAGAACGTACAGTAGCAAAGAGACATTACATTACAGTCAAAATGGCAATAAATTGAGATTTAATCCTCAACTAATATAAAGAAGGAAATTTTATTTTAGTCATCGTCGTTCGAGTGTTATTGTTTTTTTAGGTTTTGTAACTTGTAGCGTCTATACGAGTTCTTCCGTTGCAGAACTGTGGGGGTTATTTGAACAAATAGGTACAACCAAATATTATATTTGTGAATTTGTGATAGGTACAAGTAGATATTTAGAACAAACAAAAAAAAAACAATATGCTTATTTATTGTATTTTTAGAGGCTGAACAGAAAATACAAGAAGCTTCTAAACATTATAAAGCCGAAATAATTAGTATCGGCAAGAATTTTGATGAAGATTTTTCAAAACTCGAGAGGACCAAAGATTTTCGACTAGTATTTTTTGAAAACCCACACAATACTTGCATGATACATTTTGGTAGCGGCTCTACCAAAGCAGATATGTTTGAATCATTATTATTTCATGGCACTTGTGGTGCCAATTCCCAGGTAAGAACATGCTTTGGCATGGTTGGAATGTTGTATGATTTTCCTTTGGAAAATATTGTGTAAAGATGATTTCACTATTTCCTGTGTATTGATTTGTAGACCTAAAGCTGAGCCTGCCAAGAAAATATGCGCAAATCACGACGTAAGTTTAAAATTTTTCAATTGGTATTGGCTATCAGCTACCATGGAAATGTTTGATTATATTTAAAAAGCGAGATATAGATTAATGCAAGACTGTTTTAGAGGTGATCAAATTTGGAATACAATTGCAAACTACAAGGTAATATTTCTGTATTATCACGCTCTGGGGTGCGTCACAGAAATCTTTGGATCACAACAATAATTTATTCACCGTTACTACACACTCTAACACTAATTACTTAACTAATTAACTAAAACAACTTAAATCTTTAGAACTTTACATTATTCACTATATAAATCATATCACAGCCAAACTTACACTTAAAAACTACTAACTAATACCGGCCTTTATATATCTGTAATAACATCGTGTAAAATCCATAATAAACGCGATAGCCTCTTTTTCTGAATGAATCAGTATTTTCTAGATTTTAGGTTGGATTCTCGACACCCTGGCGGATGCGCTACCGTCCTCTTAAGGTTGATCGTCCCGACCAGCTTCACGCCCATGATATTTCGCCAATCTGTCTAGATATCATGGACAACTTTCATCTTACTCCTGGAATTGCGCTGAACTCGATAAAAATCATTGATCCTCTTGATTATTCTTTAGGGTCCTTTCGATGCTGAAGACAATTTCGGCGATACTCCTTTCTTTCTTGTTGGATTATACAGCCACACTGGATTACCTTCTTGAAATCCGGCTGAATTGGCTTTCAAGTCGTATCTGGTCTTCTGGTCGTGGCCAGCTGAATATTCTCTCGAGCAAAATCATGCATCCCCAGCTTAATCTCGAATTTCTTTTCGTTCTTCTTCAGGTATTCCTGAATGCAACTCTCGTGGCACACCATGACGACTGAAAACTTCGTCCACTAGCCCCTGGGCAATCGTGAAAGCTTCTTGATTGAGAATAGCGAAAACTTCTGGCCATTTACTGAAGTAATCCATGATAACCAAGATGTATTTGTTACCAAGAGTCTGACTCTGACTTATCGCTATTATTTCAAATGGGAGACCGACGTTGTACAGATGTCGCATCTTCGACACCAGTTTTTTTAACGTCTTCGTGATAGTGAACCCAGTAAAAACGTTCTCGAATTTTGTCCAAAGTCTTGTTAGCTCCAAAATGTGCCCCTGAAGTTCCGTCATGAATTTCTTTTAATACATCTTCTACTCGATCTTTTGGAACAACCAGTTGGCTCTTAGTAGATTTTCCATCGACACTTTCCCAAATTCTTTTCAGTAAACCATTTTCTGCGGCCAGAGAGTTCCACTGAGCCCACAACGCCTTGTAAATTAAACTCTTGTTCGACACTTCCCTCCTTTCTGGCCTACATTCATTATTTTCTCTAAGATATAGAAATTGCCCGATGTTCTGGTCTGCTTCTTGATCTGCTCTCATTTGTTTGGTAGTCCATTTACCATCAACGATAAGACCCGTTCTTCTCACAGCCGGACCAGTGTTTTTATCGTGCATATCGATTCTTTGACAAGGCTTGCAGTCTTCTTTGCATTGCCGTCTAGACAGAGCATCTGCAATTTTATGCAGGTTTCTAGAGGTCGATGCTTAATTTGAAAATCGTATTGCCGCAATTTCTCAATCTATCTAGCAAGATCTCCTTCGGGAGTTTTCATTCCTAAAAGCCATTTTAGAGCCGCGTAATCTGTTCGAATTAGAAACTTGCGTCCGTAGAGATACTTATGAAAATCGTCAACTGCTTTTACTATGGCAAGCAACTATCTTCTAGTGACACATCAATTTTGTTCTGGCTTTTATAAGGTTCTGCTGTAGTATTCTACGACATTCTCTTGTGAATTTTGAATTTGTGAAAGTACCGCTCCCATACTGGTGTTGGACATGCCCTTCTGATCGGGATAGGACAACACTGGGGTTGAACATATTGCTCCTTTTAATTTTCTAAATGCGGAATCGCATTCTTGGATCTAATTGAATGTTGATTTTTCTTCCGTTAATCGATGAAGCGTAACAGATATATTGGCGAATCCTTCCACAAATCTTCGACAATAAGAACATAATCCTAGAAAACTCATTAGTTCAGAGACCTTTCTCAGTTTCCTTACAGAGATAAAGTCCTTTTCCAACACATTGTTTCTTATGACAAAAACCGGAATAATTTTTTTTCTCGAAAACTGTTAGAGATAAACTTATCGAACTTTATCATTGAAATCAGCGAAAGCATAGCTTTCTTATGAACTATTAATATATAGGGTGTCCTATTGGAAAAAATAGGATTTTGGTCAATATCTCGAAATCCAAGTCAGACAGAAAAAAACTGAGAACGTCACTGAATTCTGCTTAAAAAAGTGCTTCCAAAAGGTCTTTACGGAAATAAATTATTTTCATAAACAAAAAAGTTATGGAGGCTTTACAGTATTGCTCAAAATCGAGAATCGCCCTCTAGCGGCTAAACGGTTGAAGATATCAAAATGCGGTTTGCACCAATGAAGATTTCATGAAATTTGAGCCTCAGAGTGGGGGGTCCATTTTTTTCTATCTCTAAAAATAAAGGGTGTTTCCATAAGGAAGTGTCCAATTTGGCCCACCCTGTACATGAACAAATAAATTGTATTCTAATATAAATATATAAGTACCTACATACTATAATATGTATACATATATGTAATACCTATGCGCATAAAAAAGTGATTTATATTCTTCATATAGAACGCTCACTTCTGTTGTAGTCGCCAAGTGACATTTCCGCCGGTGATGCCATAGCAGTGTAGTCATTGAATTAATATTTGGCGGGCCGTTTGAATTTCAGTTTTAAATGACGTTTGACATTCCAAATTTTTTCATAATAAGGCAGTGCTCCGGAACTTCATAAACTTAAATGACTATAATTTTATTCATTTTATTTTCATATAATATTTATGTGAGAATCACAATGAATAAAATAGTCTATAATCTAGATGATTTGGCGTATCTGACTTATGAGCAAAACCAAAATTTCTGTTTTCTCATTTCTGTGTTGTTTTTGATGTAGATTTCCCTGGTCTGTCGCTATGCAGTTCGCTTATAGCCGATTTTTTTTTTTGCTGCCTGGTCACGGTCACACACTATGGCAACAGCTCTTAAACCGGCTGCTTATGATGCACTTATCACTTCTTTCACGGTGTTGCAATTCAAAACAATCAACGAAAATGCACTCAACAAATTAATTCAAATTACAAGATGGCATATGCATTATGATGTTTTGTTTTTTGTTCTGAGGCAAGGTCAAACGGCGATACAAGCGCACAGCGGTGTAGTCACGAACTAAAGCAAAAAGTGGAGGGGATGAATCTAGTGAATGTTCTATTTATGAATTTATAAATCACAAAATTACTTTTCTATGCCTATGCGTTTGCAATAGTTTACATATAAGGTGTAGTAGATTAAACAACGTTTTTATTTCCAGTTTTTCAACAACTCGTTTAAAAATAAGAAACCAAAAGACATACAAATGCGTGAGCACATTATTACATTTTTAATATTGCCTCAAAAACAATCTGGATTTCGAAGTGGGTATAGTTGTGCCACCGCGATGGCAGATGTGATTGACGATATTTTCCGTGCACGGGACAATAATACACTGCTTTTGTCTTATTAGATTTTACAAAGGCCTTTGATTTTCTTAATCATGAGATACTGGCAGCTTTGTTGCACTATACCGGTCTCACCAATAACGCAATAGTAATAGTCTTGATAAAATCTTTTTAAGGTAATAGAACTCAACGGGTTAAGACAGATAATTGTTTCTCAAACTGTCTCTCGGTACTCACAGGGTTTCCACAGGGAAGCATACTGGGTCCACTTTTATTTAGTATTTATACATCTTGTTTCCCATGTCATCTTAAATTCTGTCGGTATCACCTGTATGCAGATGATACCCAAATTTACTATGCGGTTTCACCTCCTGACTACCGAACAGCGATAAACAGAATAAATTCGAATCTTGTCGCACTAGTTGACGTTTCAAACAGGCATATGCTAAATCCTAATCCTAACAAATCCATAGTTGTTCTTTTTGACAATAAAAATAATCATATAACTAATGAGATTCTTTATGTATTGGTGACCAAATACTC